CCCTATTGGCAAAAACTTAATTTCATGGTCATACTTAGTGGTGGTGGGGGGATGGTAGTGAGGTGAGAAGCATAATTTTTAAATTGGTTGCCAATGAACTCAGCTGGAAATCAGGATTCTGTTACTGAGAAATTTGATCAAGTATTAGTCAGCCTCATTTCTTTAGAGGAAAGAAGCAGATTTGGCAAAGACACATAAGTGGGACTCTTCTGATTTGAGACCCTATTCTCAGGGTAGCTCTGTCTCCTTGGGGAACAGTAATTCTCTCTTTCCCCTTCTCGACTCCCCATGTGGCACCTGGCGAAAGGAAGCTTGGTGGAATGGGGCGCAGAGGGGAAGGAGGCCTCTCTGCCACCTGTGTGACAGGCCATCTGTGCTGGACTGTCCCTGGTCTGGCCTGCTGTCCTCGCTCATGCTGCCCAGTGGCTGTGGCTCAGTCCTGGAGGTCGGCAGTCTCCCCTGATAAAGCTGACCGCACTCGGTCATCTCTGCTCTCCCTGCGGTCCCTGCAGTGCTCTCAGGACTTCTGTTGCTGCCTACTACAGGCTCAGAGCTCCTCAGAGCAGAGAAAGATAAGGTCTCTGAGTCTTCAATCTTCATCCTTCTTTTGTCTCTTGTAGCTGCTACTTCTGATGTCCTCCTGTCTCCCTGCATAGTGGCCTTCACGGTTCCCAGGAAAAACTGCCTTGTCCTTTCCCAGGAGGATTCATGGCTGGGAAAGGGTGAGAGGGGAGATTTTCTTTTTTGAAAAAAGATTATCAAAAGGAAAACTACTCAGTGAAACATCCTTTTGATACATGCAAAACTGCTTATCTCCCAAGTCAGAAATGAGTTGGCATTAATGGGAGTATTTTGTGTGTGTGTGAGTGTGTGTGTGTGTGTGTTATTGGCGATATCATAAAAATCAGCTTTGGTTCTACTTGAGTCCAATTATCAGAGCATTCAGTTAATAAGAATCCCCATTAAAAGTTTGTTCACTATTCTATTATGTGGCAAGATTTGAATGTACACTATTTTAAATAATAGCAATGTGGATTTTTTTTCTTTTTTTTTTGGTATTGGGGATCGAACTCGGGTTCTTGTGCTTGCAAGGCAAGCAACAGAACCACTGAGATAAATCCCTGGCCCAGCAATGTGGATTTTTAAAGACAGTATTATTTTGTTACTTCTATGAGTGTTCCCAGGCCCTGGCATGTATTGGTGGAATAAATGAATGCATGAACAAGCAAATGACAGATATACCTGAAATCAAGAAAACAGAAGAGAGAAAAGAATTCACAACCCTCTCTCTTTTTATACTTCAGATATTCTTTCCCTTTTGGCCTTTTGATTGTCTTAATTCAGACTCAGATGCCCCTCCACACGTTCTTGATCCTTCTCAGAGGCGATATGAAATTTACACTGCCTGTCGTGGACAGTAACTGTGTTGAGGGGCATCATTACTACTCTCCTCCCTCCGCCGCTGCTCCCAGCGCAGCTGCCCCTGCCGCATATTAGCTTGTCTCCCCTCAAGTGCATGGCCACCACATTAAGAACGTGTTTTATTCTGCCTCCTTTACTTGGTGACACTCAGCAAGGAGGATGGTTACAGGGCCAAGAAGAGATCACCAGTGTTTCTAAAGCAATAAATATTTTCTTTATTGTTTTCTTCTTCCATGTTGATGGCTATTAATTGTAAACTTTTGTGATATTGGGAGCAGTAAAAAGGACAATAAAATTGCTCCTATGAATTGTGGGGCAGTAGGGCCGTGGCATTTATTTGTTTAGATATTTATTTAAAGTGTATATTTTTTCCTCAAAGATCTAATAAGTTTGCTTGGGAAAATTCGGATAGCCACTTTTTTTTAATAAGGTGGCCAAATATTAATCTAAAGATTAATAAAGTCCTGCCAGTTTCCTGGGGCTGTACAAGGTACTCTGACTTTTGGTCATACTTACCTCATTTTTTTTTTCAGAGAGGAAAATGCCTTATGGTTTCATGAGGGCTTTATTGAACTGTAACTGGAAGTCTGAGGCTTTGTAATTCATCCATCTCAGAGAAATTGTTTCTCTATGTTATTGGTGTCATATACACACTATGCTTTATTTGTGGCAAACATTTGCTTTGGAAGATAAAAGCAGTTTTTCTCTCTCCACAGTGGGCTCTTGCAATAGTTCCTCTGGGCCAGTTTGGATACTTTGAGGAATTTAAAGCTGTCCAATCTCTAGAATCGTAAACAATATTCTAAAGCACAATCTGAAGACAAAGAAGCCTGTGCCCCATCACCCAGGGGTGCATAAGAAGGGGTCTGCTCCCCACGCTGAGAGGAAAACTGCCCCAGTATCACCAGGGGGGCCCTGCACAATAAGCTCAAGATTTATGTGTGTGTTTTTTTCTCATGGTCAAAGTAGTACAGAAATATAGATTAAGCAACAAAATAGTACTGAAATATAAAAAAGAAGACAGCACAAAATCTCTGTGTCAATCACCTTTTGAAATAACCAGCGTTACTTAGTGCATATCTAGTTATATGGATTTTCAAATACTCGAGCAGCTCAAGATGTTTGGGAACCACATTTCTAGATATGAGGCAAAGCAGAGGAGGTGTGGTCACTATCCAGGTTAGTGATTCTCTGACCCTGACCATCTGCCCATCCAAGATAGAGAGGTCACCTATCTCTTCGAAGATGAAGAAAAAGGAATGATGATGTAGATTTTGTTCTTTCTATTTTTGTGGCATTAAAATATCCTCTTTGAAGTCATAATAGATATTAGTTAATATTATTTTCTTTGGTCCTTTCTTGGAGTCGTAGATTGGGTTGTCATTCCAACTTCTTCCTAACTCTCCACGGAGAGCTATAGATCCTCTCCCATTCTGTCCCCAAGACAGGAGGCTTTGCCAGCTAACTTGTTTTGGTTATTTCATTGACCAAATGTATCATTTCCTATCAGAATCTTTGAGGCAATATATGTTTCTCTATTATCTCTGTTTCTCCTTCTGCAAGGTATTACATGTTTCATTTGCCTGGGTCTCAGAGGGGTAGTGTCAGCCAGTTCATACTAAGCATATTACATGAGGAGGAGATGGTGTTTTGTGGTTGCAATCCACTGAGGAGTGGGGTTGATCGTTACTGCAGCAAGACTTAGTCTGTACAGACTGATATAGCTGGCCAAATTCAATGTGGGAAACTCTTTAGGGCTTTCTTGTGTATTTAAAATTTTGTAAGCCTGAAATTGAAGAATCTGGGACTCATTATTGTATTTAAAAACATAGGTGATAGTTTTGATTGTTAGTTTAGGCCAGTAATGACAAACCTTTTAGAGCTTTCAATGATGTAGACAGCCTGCTGAAGCATACATGCCATAGGTAGGCCTATGCTGACCATTACAGCAGCAACTACCTGTTGAATACTTGAAATGGGGCAGACAGAATGAAAATGGGTATAAGTGTGAAATATGCATGTACTTTGTAAGATATTACAAAATAATGTGAAATATCTCAATTTCTATGCTGATCACATGTTGAAATGATAATGTTTTCAACCTATTAGGTTAGAATAAAATAGTGATTTCATCAATTCAATGTTTTTAAATGTGACTACTAACATTTTTAAAGTACATGTGTGGATCACAGTAGATTTTTGTTGGACAGCTCTTTTCTAGTATATAGAGCCAAACAGACCTTGATTTCTGTCTTATCTCTGCCAAGATCTCCCTGTGATCTTGTAGATCTTGCTCCCTGCCTTCACCCACTCCTCACCCAAAAGACAAGGAAAAGAGAACTAATCTCCTAAGGATAATAGGAAGTAAGATAATGAAAACAATTGTGGTGCCCATAGTAAATGTCCTTCTTCTCTCAAGCTCATGAAAGGGTGAAGTTTTGAGGATTCCTTTTGAATTACAGTTTCCTCATGGTTTCTGCAGAAAGAGATAGTTCATTTTTCATAACTTCTATTTTCCTTTGACATGTGGAGCCTTGAGAGTCATGAGTGAAAACACTGGCTGGGCCAAAGTCTTGTTCCAAATAACTAGTGTATTAGCTTTCTCATTGTTAGACACAATACCTGACACTCACAGCCTTAAAAAGGAGAGGTTTAATTTGGCTCATGTCTTACGGGGATTCAGTCCATGGAAAGCTCATTCCAAGGCAGAAATACCATGGTGGAAGGGCAAGGTAGAGCAAAACTATTTAGTTCATGGTGGGCAGGAAACAGAGGATGGAAATAGTTGCAGAAAGAGGAGATGAATCAGACATAGAAACCAAGGCCACACCTCTATGTCCCAGATACACCCCATGTGCTCCATTGTTCCCCCAAGGCAGTTGCCCAAACCATACAAGTTGACTATTAAATTTAAGTGTCACAACTGGAGAGGGAGCTTTCCATGTGTACACTTTGACTTCTCTAGGAGGAAGAGAGTGGTTTTGGATTCCTGTTCACCCTGATTTCATTAGTCACATATTTAGAAAATGCAAGTGTCCTGGGCACTCTAACAGATTATGTTGGGATGTTCATTTTGAAATCATTCATCTTTATTGATTCTTTTGACACAACACATTTGGGGTACATTGAAAATAACTCGCCTGTGGAGCATAAATTAATTTCCTTTATGAATCTGAACAAAGGTACTAAGTAAGTTTATTTTTCCTGGTGGCTGATCCATGAGACAGACCAAGCCATTTGAAAAATGTCTGTCTTGCAGGTTTAAGACATTTTTCTAGAAAAAATTCCCTCCCACCTTAGTTACGTATTCAGATTCATCCCTCTGTATTTGCTTTACACATATTTGGAATCCTTTTGAGAGCCCTTTGCATATGTGAATAGTGGTCTCAGTTTTAAAACATCATTAGCATTATAATCCTGTTGATCAGCTGCAACAAGGGCTGTAATATGCCTGATGCTGTGAGTAGCAAATAATGAATCTGTAAAGCACCATGCTTTCAGCCCAAGTTTCAGACAACCCTCCTTTCTGGGGCAACCTTACCACCTTCCAAAGAGGCTTTCTCTCCATTTCCATCAGCAAGGTGTACACATAAAAAGTGGAGATTGGATCCAGGCTTTGTATGAAGCGTTTTAAAGATCCAGGGTTGAGGCACTGACTTACTTTCCCGACACTGCCAACAAGGTAGCTGATGACTCCTGATCTCAGATATATACAAGGCACCATGGTGGGCACTTCCCTGAGCTGCTAATCTCCCTCTACTCCTGTTAGCTCATCTTAATGTTTGGGAAACTCTTTTGTCCAAAATGCCACCTAGGATTCTGGGCCTCTTTCATTAAACATACTAACTTTAGGTTTAGTTGCAAGTGAAGAATAACATACTTTTCTTAAGGTCAAAGCCTGTCTATCTCTTTTGTAAAAGAAAGCTCTGGGATAGGCAATCTAGGCTGCTAGTGTGTCCTTTCAAATCTCCAGAGTCTTAGCTTCTTTCTATCTTGCTGCTCATCAGTTCTGTTCCTCATAGTTCAAAAAGGCTGCTTGAATTCCTCCTCTCACATCCACATTCCTGTCAACAGAAAAGAAGGGTCACCTTCAGTAGAAAAGAAGATAGAAGGGTCTGCACATAACACTTTTGCTTACGTGTGTCCAGCACTTAGTCACATGGCTACATCAAGCTGCTAAGGAGACTGCGAAATATCCTCTTTATTCTGAGCAGCTGTATCTTGGCTGAAAATGAGAAATTCTATTCATAAGGAAGAAGGAGAGGGCAAATACAGATGCAGACAACTAGTTGTTTCTTCCTTTTTTCTCTTTTATCTAACCATTGCTAAATAAAGAGTTTTGTGGTCCTCCCTTTTATAATACTATACTTAATTGGTCCTTTCCCCCAAACAAATATAGGAGGTGATACTCCCTCCATTTTTCAGATAAGAAACTGAAGTCCAGAAATTTGCCTTTCTATTAAATCAAGATCATAATTATAATGATTATTACTTTGAACATTTTATGGACATATGGTCATTAATTTTGTTTCCCCTAAAACCAGACAACTGACTCTACCATATATCTGCAATTGAGGAAATGTTGGAATATTTGTCCCAGGCCACAAACTACTGAAGAAAAATGGGGTGGCCACAGACTCAGTTTGTGGCTCTACACTGCCCCAGAAGCGCACTCATTTTTTGGACCTCTCTTAGTTTTCTGCTGTGGCTGCAACAAATAGGCACATATTTAGAGTCCAGAGACTCTTCCATCTTCATAATCACATGGGTTTGTCAGTCAGAAATCCTGTGGGCCTGGCTGGTTCTCTGCCCCAGGTCCCACACATCTGAAATCGCTGAATCTGTAGTCTAGGAACATGTCCTTATTTTAAGATGAACTGAGGACTAGGGATTTAGCTCAGTGATTCCACTGCCTGCCTTGCCAGCGCAAGGTCCCCAGTTCGATCCTCAGTACCAAAAAAAAAAAAAGATTAACTGATTAATGACCTTAATTCCAAAATCCCCTTTGCCATGAAGTTTAATATATTCATAGGTTCAGGGGATTAGGGTGTGGGCATTTTGGAGGAAACTATTATTTGATCTACCGTAGACTGTGGCTCATTATGATAAACCCTTTGCATTGCAGCCAGGGACAGTGTGTGCTGGAGTGAGGAAACAAGTGTCACCAAACATATGTACTGATCCTATTCTATTTTATTACTTCTTTTTTTTTTTTTGGTACCAGGGATTGAACTCGGGTCCTTGCACTTGCACAGCAGGTGGCGAAACCACTGAGCTAAATCCCCGGCCCCTTATTACTTCATTTTTAAGATACAGTGGTTATGACCCAGCAAATTGATTTCATGACCCACAGCTTTAAAAAACACTGAAAAATCTTCTCCATTTCTATTGCTATTTCCTTAATCTGGTCATTGTCTTCTGTTGTCTGGATTATTATAGGAGCCTCCCAAGGGCTGTGCAAGATTCTTAGTTCTCCCCTCCCAAGCCCCCTGTCAACCTACCAACCTCTTCACCAAATGCCCTTCCTACATTTATTCTGCCTCTTATCAGATGTCTGCATTCATGAAACTAAGCTAAGAATGCTTTGAAATACCCATGGAGTGTCCCAAAGCGATGGGAAAGAGTGTAACTTTAAAGATGGCACATTGCATAACTGTTCTCCACAGTTAATGTCTGGAACTGAAGTACTGAGAAGGGCTGGGAAATCCTACCTAGGACAGGCAGAAAGCCACAGGCCTAAATTAGTAATGTCTGCTGTGGACAAAGGTGGAGAGATAGATGACACTGCGAGGTATTTGCTGTCTTTGGGCTTAGTGGATATTGTTATAACTCACCCTCCAATGATCAGAAAAGTAAGCCTGAAAGGACAAAGCCAGAATTCAGAAAAATCAAGCAGGAATGGATTGAAATTTCAAGAATAAAAGGGTCTCCTCTGTGTGGAGAACAAGATAAACAAGATATAGTAACTTGTAGGAGGATGAGGAGAAATAATGGTTTTTGTCACTTGGGAGTATAGAACTCTGACAGAAACAAATTACTTTTTTTGAACTAAAAGAATTTTTAGCTCATTAAAGCCTATTGCTACATTTACAACTGTCCTTGGCATCACAAAACTGTACTTTATCATCTTGGGAGGTCTTTGTATTTTTTTGATTGTTTCTTTGTTTTCTGAGACCAGAGATCAGAAGCTCAGATCCCTGTAGGGAAGGTACTTGGTTGTGAGAAGGGCTAGAGTCAATCTGCTTGGGTTCAAATCCCAGCTCTGTCACTTACAATGTTCTTGCTTTTGAGCAAGTTTTTAATCTTGGAAGGTCTCCATTTGTCTCTGCATGCTGTTGACATCAGTGGGAACCAGAAACTTGGGTAGGGGGAGTTTTGCTATGTAATGCCTATGGATAATACCTCCTCCTTTGTAGGGTTTTCTGAAGGAATAAGAAAGGTAATGTGTGAAGAACATGCCAATGACATGTCAGTAAGAAGCAGCAGTTAAAGGGCTGGGGATTTAATTCAGTGGTGCCGCGCCTGCCTCGAAAGTGCAAGGTCCTGAGTTTGATCCCGGTAATGCCAAAAAAGAAGCAGTTAACTACTGCTTAGTCAGAATCAAGAACTCTTGCTTGTCTTCTCGTTACTTAGCCATGTTTTAACTCTGTGGTAAATGTTTCTTTCCTCCCAGAGGAAAGATCAGATGCCAGCTTCATTTGCTGTCCCTCTCAGTGTCTAACAGAGTGCACAGAATTGCAGTGACATTCTATCCTTTCACTCTTATCCCAGTCTCCTCTCCCCGAAGTGACCAGGTGGATCTTTATAACACTTTTCTTAGACAATGTCAACCTCTGTACAAACTCTCTCTCGAGTGATCTACAGGGCTGTGTATGATTGGGCTTCCCTACCTTCACTCATGACACTGATGTCTACCATACCATCTTCTAAGGAACTCTCCTGGGAGTTCCTTAGATCTACCAAGGACAGTCTTGCCTTAGCCTGTGTACCATCTGTTTCTGCCTTCTAGAATGTTCTTCCAATAGATACCCTCATGGCTTATATCTTCAATTCAATCAGGGCTTTGCTCAAGAATCACCTTCAGGGGCCTTGCCTAAAATAGAACCTCTTGCCCTGCCATCACTTTGTCCTGTTGTTCTTCTAAAAATTGTGTCATATCTTCACATGTTGGTTTTGTTTGACTATTACTTTTTTGTGTGTGTCTACCCATTTAGAATGAATGTTCCATTAGAAGAAAGATTTAAGTGGTTTTGTTCTCAGCTATATCCACTGTGCTTGAAATCCTGCACATAGTAAGACATCAGTAATATTTATGGAATGAATGAATAAATAAAATGGATTTAAAAGAAGACTGACTATGTGCCAACCATTGTATTAGGCTCTTCTGCTTTTGTTCCATCTGGGCTCATAGTCTATAGGACGGCACCTCTCACACTCAGAGCAGGTCTCCCCTCCTTATAGACATACCCAAGCATACCTAAAAGTGAGCTTTACTAATTTCCTAGGCCTGTCTCAATCCAGTCATGTTGACAATCAAGATGAACACCACAGATCTTTAACTACAACTGGAAGAATCAATAGGGCTTGAGCTGGATAAAGGAGGATAGGAGAAGAGGGTTTTCCAGACTAGATTGGAGATTTCCCAATCACCAAAAACTTTTCTGACTTAGGAAACCCTTGGAGCTACTTGATAAATTCTAGCAGATACCCTGCATGGGCTCCAACACCTCCATGTGGAAGAGATTCAGGGGTGATGATTTTTTGAAGGGAAATCACTTTGAGGCAGTATTTGATGTGAACTTGGATATTTTATTCACTTTTTGGGGGGACTTGGGGGTCTGAGGAGGATGAAGGGCCAAGACCACCAGCCATCTATTACTGCCATAACCATAGGAGTTTCTCAAAAAGGCTTTAGGACATGATGGTGTGTGACTATGACTAAGACTAGGCCAATCAGGTACGGTGGCTTCCTTGTCTTCTCTCGGGTCACCTGCTGTGAGGTAAGCCAGCCACCATATTGTGGGGACACTCAAGTCACCCTTGGAGAGGCCCACGAAGGGAGGAACAGAGGCCTCCTCTAGCACTAAGCAGCATGTGAATGAACTGTTTTAGAAACTATCCTCTTGTCTCAGTATGTCCTTCACATGACTGTACCCTGTGCTGACATCTTAGATGCAGCCTTCTGGCATACCCCAAGCCAGAACCACCAGGATCAAATTCCTGATCCACACAAACTGCAAGATTGTAAATATTTGCTTTAAGATGCTAAGTTTCAGGGTGATTTGACACAGAGGAAAAGATAACCAATCCATAATTACACTCCTGTTATTGTTATCTCTCTCCAATCCCAGCATCTAAACATCTTGGTGTTATGGGTTGATCCCACTAAATAGAGACAGAAATGGAAAAAAAGCTTCTGAACAGTTTTATGATACCAACATTGGCCCTGTATGTTCATTTCTATCACCCCAAATTGTTACCATTGTTCAGCAGTTCCTGTATACCAGGCATCTCACTGTGAGCTTTTGGATGTGTCATCATATTGCATCTTCTCATCATCCCTTTCCAGTTGCTATGCTTTCCCCCTGTTTGAAAGTGAGAAAACAGGTTCAGAAATATGTGTGTTAGCTTTCCATCATTATGATGAAGTACCTGAGACAACTTAAAAAAAAAGGTTTATTTTTATTCATAGTCTTGAAGGTCTCAGTCCATGATCAATTGGCCCCATTGTTCTGGGTCTGGTGAGGCAGCACAACATGGCAGAAGCTGGTGATGTAGCAAAACTGGTTACATCATAAGCCAAAGAGTAGAGAGGAAGGGGTCAGGGTTCCCTAATTCTTGACAAGGGACATACCTCCAAAGACCCAAGGATCTCCCACTAGGCTCCACCTCCTAAAGGTTCCACCACCACCCAAGAGCTCTATTCTGGGACCAAGCCTTTAATACATGGGCCCTTAGGGGACAACCAGCATCCAAAGTATAGCAATAAGCTTACATGGATCTAAGTAAGGTCACACAGCTTATCTAGGCAAAGCTGCTCTCTTACTAACTACCCTCTTTACTCCGGGAAGCCATCTGGATATGGGGGATAGAGGGAAGGGTGGGAGAGGTATAAAAGGTGAGGGTGTAACTCAGGCTCTCCCCAACTTTTTTTTTTTTTACCCAGGCTCTTCCCAACTTTAATGTGGATGCAGATCAGTAGGTGAGGGCTGGGGCCTGGGATCTGCATGCATAACAGTCCCCAGGAGGCAATGTTCCCTAACTTGACTCAAGATCATACTTTGGTGAGCACCGAGGTAGGAGATTTGAGATGTGATACAACACTACCAAGGGGACTCTCTGGCCCCAAGTCCCTCTTTGAAAGCTTTGGAGATCAGATTTCTTTGAGCAGTAAGTGCTGACAAAGCTGTAAAAGGACTGGCACTGGGGAGTTTTGCCTCATTTTGGAAGCAGTTAGCCAACTAATCTGGTTTAATCATCACAGGAAAATGCAAACAGAAAAAAGGCACACAGCCCTTGTATTTCAGCCTGCCAGACCTCTGGACTCTGGGCTTTCGCTGATACTACAGGAAGGATTTATATGTGGAATAAATATTCTTAAATCTTTATAAGGTGCCTAAAATATTTATGGTTGTTTTAGTTTGGTTTGCATGCCATATTGCTCTCTTACATTAAGCAGTTTTTACACCATCAAGCTTTCCCATTAATCATTTCGGCCTATTCCCAGCTATCTTAACCGAGGGGAGATCTATTACACTCAGCGACTGGAGCCAAATGATCTCATTTCTCCTTTGGCTGTTTCATCGAATGGTTCATAAACCTATGGCTATTATTGTATTAGGAAGACACATTGTGGTTCTCTTGTGTCATGTTGACATGTTTACGTTTCTTTTTCTTAAGAGAAATCATGATTAAAATGGAATATTGTTTCACAGAGGACATTTTATAACAATTTTGGCCTGATGAAATTAAAAAAGGGGGCCATCCAATCTCTGGCAAATGCTGAATTGGTTGAATCAATGTCACTGAAAGATTAAAACCATCTTGCTCTTCTGTCCTTTGTACATGAAATGATTTTAGGGAATTGTTAAAAAATACCAATATTTGTTTAGGGAGAATCATTGTTCTGGGAAGACAGAAAGTTGTAGTGTTGCTTTTTCAGAGGGGATTTAGCAGCATTTGATGGCATTGCTCCCTGTCAACCAAGTGTGTCCATATTCTGGATGGTTCAGACTCCAATTTAACTCTTGTGACTTTGATCTCACACTAGGTAAGACCTTAAGTCTTAGGATGACAGATACTATTTTGGATTAATGGTAAAGGATAGAGAAATAGGAAAACTTGTCTCAAATAAATGTTGGGTTTCATTCATTTCTTCATTGTGGGTGTGTTGTGTTGGGGGTTCTTTTTCAGCAGGAGGAGAAATGGACATAATCACATTTATATTAACCCATGTTTACACCTCCTTATAATAGAAACTGATGTTAAACCACCACCACAAATATGGGTTGGCCTCCCTCCCTCTCTCCTTCCTTCCCTCTTTCCCTCCCTCTTTTGCTGTCTTCCTCCCTCTCTGTGCTGGGGATGGAACCCAGGGCTTCACGTATGCCAGGCAAACATCCTACAACTGAGCTCCAGTCCTCATCTAACTTTCTTAATCATGGGACAGTTTAGCTGTTAGGAGAAAGCAAATGTTTAGTCTATTTTTCTAATGAAAATAATCTTCATTTTCACAACTTACCTTTGATTCTGGGAAATGTTCAAGGTGATAATGGTTCTGGAAGGAAATATGGCTTCTCTTTTAAGAAGAGAATCTGTAGAGAAAATCTAAGTAAGTTTGGAAGTCATTTTTGCAAACAATGGTTATCCTTCATTGTCATGACCAGCAGAATATGTTATTTGCACATGTGCCCTTACGGTAGTTTTGATGTGAATCTTACTCAGCTTTTGGCTGTCATTTTGCATTTTTAAACCACCTGTGTAACTCTCTACCATGTAAACCTGATTAGTTCGCTATGGTATCCAAAAATATACGTTAGCAATTATGGAGAGAAACTTGCATGTAATCAAAATGAGTCCAAATCACGTTAAGTGGGGTGAGTCACAAACTCTGGGGACTCTCCCATCCTTCCATTGTCAGGACCACTTTCATGAGCACAAGATGTAAGATTCTGTATTTCTAGTTCTTGTTTTTCTTACAACTTCAATTTTGTTCATCATCCCTGCTGCAGAAGTAAGCTGGTAAGGAGAACAGACTAAGGACTAGAATTCACTATCGCGAACCAGAATCTAAAATCAAGCCTGTTTTGTTTTGCAGGTTGATAGGCCCCAACATGGACCATTAAAAATACATGAATGCAGATGGCTGAATACAAGAACGTCACAGCTGTTCATCCCAACACTATTTGCAGGCGCATGTCCTCAGCTGAGGTATCTCAAGCTTTAAGTTAAAGGGCACCTTGGGGGTGCGTCATTTTGATATAATCACCCCTTACCTCTGCCCTTTCTTGCTGCACTCCCCCCTGCCAGTATTATGAGGCTTGAAACTGGGCCAGGCTGATCCCACAGGGCCGTGATTATTTTGTGATAACAGCACTCCCTGGAGTGGTCTTATTGCCATTATAAAAAGTGTTTATTGTGCAGAAAGCCTGTATTTTTGGTGCAGGCAGTGAAGGCTACTGAGAGGGAAGCGCAGCTGAGGTTATGATTCACATTAATTAATCTCGCGCTTTCGACATCTCATTAGCCAATCAGAGTGATCTTGAAATAGGAGAGAAGCAGCACACCACCGTGGGGGCCTCTTTGCAGCCTGCTGCACTGGGCTGCAAACTTCTCCTGCGCTCTGCCTGCTCCATTGCAAGGGAAGATGGCCCACTACAAACCCTCCCCTCTGGCAAGCCCAATGTGCCGTCTGGCGCTCACAAGGTTTTCTAAGCCATTAGGCTGTCTATCAGTCATTTTCGTTCTCTGAGAAGAGACTTTGTAGCTAAATGATGGGGGCAGCCAAAAATCAAGTAGAGAGGACATTTGCAGGCCTCCAGCTGGGAGCCATGGCATTTCACACGGTCTCCAGAGGACGCTTCACAGAGCCATTTGTCAAGTCAGCACCCTGCATCTGCCCCCCAACTCCTGGGTGGAGATCTGGGGTTGGCTGCAGGAAGGAGCCCAATCATCCCTCTCTAGCACAGAACCAGATATGAACCCAGATATGGTGCTGGGTCCTGCCTGGTGACACAGCAGATGGTGCCCCACACACTGCCCAGGGTGCAGCTTAGGAGAGATCAGCAAGGAAGGGTGAGCCAGGTGACCGAAATGGCTAGCAAAACCCAGTGAGGTCTATCTCTGAAATACCCTGCTTGTGGATATAGGCATTGTGCTGGTTGTGAAAGTTTCCCAGATAAGTGAAGCCTTGACAAAGCATTAGAGTCAAAGATTTTTCTTAATCTATTGTGTGGCATGGGCCCCTTTAGCCCTTTAATGAAAACGTAGGCTCCTTTCTTAAAACACTGTTTACAGCCAGGGATACACCTGTAATCCCAGTACTCTGGGAGGCTGAGACAGGAGGATCACAAGTTCAAGCCCAGCCTGGGCAACTTAATGACTTAGACCCTGTCTCACAATAAAAAATTAAAAATAAAGGGCTGGTGCTATAACTTGGTCAAAAGCCTTGGGTTTAATCCACAGCACTGAAAACAAAAAACAAAAAACCCCACTCACTCTTTACAGTTCATTTAACAACTATGGTCATTATGCTGTAGAGTAGATGTCCAGAAGTTACTTATCTTATAACTGAAAGTTTGTATCCTTTAACCAATGTCTCCCAATTTCCCTCAGCTCTGGTAACCATTTTCCTACTACGTCTTTGTGAGTTCAATGTACTTAGATTCCACATGTAAGTGAGATTTACGATTAATAATAATGTATTATATACTTGAAATTTGCTGAGAGTAGATCTCATAAAAATACTATGAGCCGATGAATATGCTAATTAGCTTTTGTGCTAATCATTTCCCAGTGTATATCAAAACATCACATTGTTTTAATATAGTCAGGCATTGCTTAAGAATGGGCACAGTTCTGAGAAATGCCTCATTCATCAGGTGATTCCCTCCGTGGGATACTGACATGAACGTAGGTGGAAGCCCACTCCACATGCAAGCATCCCATAGAGTGTATTGCTTTAAGGGTGTGAATCTGTACCCACGCCAGTGTTGAATACTGTAGGCAAGTATAGTACAATCAGACATGTTTGTTTATCTAAACAGAGAAACCAGTAAAAATACAGTGTCAAGCATAAAAAAATGGTCCACTGTCTGAGGTTCTTGCCAGGCATGGAGCTTGCAGGACCAGAGTTGCTCTGGCTGAGTCAGTGAGTGGGTGGGAAGTGAACCTGAGGACCTGGGATGTTACTGCTCACTACTGTAGACTTTATAAGCACTGCACACTTGTGCTAAGTTTCTTAAAAAGCTCTTTCTGCAACAATAAATTAACCTCAGCTTACTGCATCTTTTTTGACATTTGAACTTTCTGACTCACTTTCCTAAAGATTTACACATTATACAGCTATACAAAAATATTTTCTTCACATATTTATTCTAGAAGCTTTTTGTTATATATTTTTTACTTTATAAACTTTTTGTTAAGATACACACACTTTAGCATAGGTCTTTGCAGGGTCAGGATCACCAACACTGCTGTCTTCCTCTACATCCTGTTTCCCCTGGAAGGGATTCAGGGCAGTCGCACGCATGGAGCTGTCACCTCCTATGATAACAAGGCTGCCTTCTGCAATGCTCCTAAAGGACCTGCCTGGAGCTGTTTTGCGGTTAACTTTTAAAAATATATAAGTAGAAGGAGTATACTTTAAAATAACCATAAAAGTATAGTAAATACATAAATGCTACCATATTATTTATCACAATCAAGCATTAAGTACTCTATGTAGCTGCATGTACTATACTTTTGTACACCCAGTAGTGCCCTATGTTGGTTTACAGCATCACCACAAACCATGAGTAATGTCTTCTGCTAGGACCTTACAGTCATTGTGATGTCACTAGGCAATAGGAATTTTTTTTAGCTCCATTATAATCTTGTAGGACCACTGTCACATATGTAGTCTTTTGTTGACCAAAACATTATACAATGCATGACTATATGTATAATTTTCATTCGTTTGTTGTATCTCAAAGCTGGAAAAAAATTATTATTATTTTTTTCGGTACCAGGGATTGAACTCGGGTCCCTGCATTTGCAAGGCAGACGTTAGAACCACTGCGCTAAATCCCCAGCTGGAAAAACATTATTAACATAGGATCACAAAGGAAACTACACTGACAGTTATCAAAATATTTTTTTAAAAATCTAATATGGTAGTCAATGTGGTTCTTCATTTAACACATTCAATAATCATAGCTAATGGTAGATAGATCTAATAGCTAATCTCAAATTAGGAATTTGTATAAATAATATATTATGGTATATCTATAATAACTGTAAGATGGTTTGAAATGTGCAATTCTTATTAACAGCAAAGTCACAGGTATCTGTTTCCTTTCTAGTTGAAGGACATATTCATATTCTGTTAGCTGCTGGCAAAAATGGAGGTGTAGTTTATTTACCATCTGCATTGAGAGACACCTGAATGTTTTCCTTCAGATCCAGATTAGAGACTGTGATCAAGTGGGACAGTGGATGTCATCTGCTCATGCTCAAGTGACTGTGATGTGGATGCTGACAGCAGAGATGGGGAGATTCTGGGGCTCAGGAAATGTTCCACGAAGAAGTGACATTTGGACTGAAGGACAAGGGACAGCTCCCAAGGAATAAAATGGGGACAGGATATTAGGAAGAAGCATGGAAGGTTTGGGCTCATCTCCAGAATGTCCTTCCTTTTTCAGTACTACAGTTCTTTGGCTGTTTCTCCCTGGCCTAGTGATGCTCCTAGGTACAGCCTGGAGGTCCACAGCTCAGGCGCCTCTCTATTAAGGCACCAAAACACATGGAGGGAACTTAGATGGATATTGCTAAATGAAAGAAGCCCATCTGGTGAGGCTGCACACTCTTCAGTTTTAACTGAGTGACATTCTAGGGCTCAGAGTGCCTAGAATTCAGCGTCAATATTTGGTTTTCATAGAATATTCTGTCTTACTCATTATTTTATAACCATACAGAAACTATTCCAGGACTATGAAGATAGTTAATATCAAGAAGTCATTAAAAGAATATCTATGAGCATATTGATAATGTATTTAACAGATATTAACAATTTCAGTGAGTATTTCTAATGAAAATAGTAACTAAAGTAAAAATAACCTAGTTCCCCCCAAATAGACCTAGAATTCTTTATTTTTTAGCTTTATGTTTTGAAATAATTTTGAGCTGAGAAAAAGTAACAAGAGTTCACATATGGCTTATGTGTTACTATCCCCAAAGGCAAATCTATGGAGATAGTAAAAAGATTGGTAATTGCCAAGGGATGTAGGGGAAGTGGAGTATGGGGGATTTTTTAGGTCAGGAAAACTACTCTCTCTGACACCTTACTAGTAGCTATGCATCATCATACATTGGTCCAAGCCCACAGAATGTACAACATTGTGAGGTTGCCTCATATAAACTAGTGGTCCTCAACCTTCTTGGCACCAGGGACCACTTTCATGGAAGACAATTCTTCCATGGACAGAGGTGTGTGGGGAGGTGGTTTGTGGATGATTCAAGTGAGCACATGACCTAGATCTCTCTTGAATGCATGGTTCATAGTAGGATTCACATTCCTATGAGAATCTAATGGTGCCACTGATCTGACAGAAGGTAGAGCTCAAGTCATAACGCAAGTGATGGGGTGTGGTGTAAGTATGATGACACAATGGCACTTTGTTTACTCTCCCACCACTCACCACCTGCTGTGCAGCTCCGTTCCTAACAAGGACCCCTCACATAAACTGGACTTTGGGTGGTAGGATGTAACAGTGTAAGTTCATCTACCATAACGACACTCCCCTCTGAGGGGCTGAGGCTGTGCTTATTGAATTCTTTTGTATTTTTGGCTCAGTTTTGCTGAGAATAGCATAAATATGTCCTTAAAAAAGCCTATTTAAATGGCAACAACTTTTTAAAGAAAAATGCAGAATCAGTTCTAGATTACACAAGAATAAGGAAACCTGACAGTTAATGGAACATTGATCCTGAGTTGGATTCTAGATCAGAAAAAGGAGGCTAGTGGGACAAATGGCAAAGGTAGAAGAAGGTCCTTAGTCTCACATCAGTGTTAATTCCTTGATCTTGTTAATAGCACTATGGTTAACAAACCATATGTAAGAGATTAGCATTTGGAGAATCTGGGTATAAGGTATATGTAAATTCTTTATACTTTTTTTCCCAGCTATTGCAAGTTCAAAATTATTCTAAAACACCAAGGTAAAAAAATAATAAATAAATAATGCTTAGCCTATTTTGAGGAAAGTAGGTTGTTTTTATTTTAGTTACTGTTTTTATTAGGCATACTTGCTGAAATTATCAGTTTCTGTTACATACATAATGTGATCATAAATTTTAATGACTTCTTGATATTGAACAGTCTTCATATTCCTGGAATAATTTCCATCTGGTCATTTGAAAAACAATGAGTAATAAAAGCATGCTATGAAAACCAAATATGGAGATTGAGTTCTTAGTATTGTTGTCTGAGAACCTCTAGTAGAAGAAATGACAAATGCCACTGAAATTTTGAGGACCCATTTATGCCAATATGAGGCTTTTTCTGAAAGAAAAGAGAGTTAAAAAGGAAGTAACATCTTCTGAGAGTGTTTCAATTCCTCGTTATTTGATAGCCAATGCAGAAAAACCACCTTCCCCACAGTGGTGAGCAGTGTATGAGGCAACCCACCTTGTCCTGCAAAGGAAATGAGATGGAGAAGCTGTTTCCAGGATTAAAGAATAATCTCATTTCACAAAATACAGGCTCGTGCTTTATGTCAGCCAGTTGATCCCCAACTAAATGTTGTTAGGGCTTTTCCCCATTTCATCCCTTTGATCCAATTATTCTCTCTTGAGCCTGATTTGGGTTGTCTTGACAGGCAGCTAGCATGACTGGGTGGGACCTCATCCCCCAGACAATCCTTTGCCTTTGTCTAGTGCCCTGTGTGTCCACAGATCAAACTGTGCTCCAGCTCACATTGGTCCCACAGGTGCCATCGATCAGCTGCCAGGTCATTTGCTGAGAAAACAGCATGACATACAGTGTGGTTCATTTATGGACACGTGCCCTTAACTTCGTCACCACAATCTCTCATACTTCCCCACTGCTTTCATGGGTTTAAGCAAGGAATTCTGTTGGGCCTATAGCAGGCTTAGGGTGACTGACATGTAGGACATATAGGATTATTCTTTGTTAAGGGGGCCTGTTCTGTGCATTTCAGGACATTTAGCAACATCCTTGGCTACTGTCCTCTGAATGCCAATAGTGCCTCCTGCTCATTCCTCACTTCACAACATCATGACGTCCCCAGACATTGTCAAATGTTCCCAGAGTCTCAGTGTGTGTGTGTGTGTGTGTGTGTGTGTGTGTGTGTGTGTGTGTGTATGTATGTATGTATCCATCTGCTCACTCCCTACTGAGAATCACTGCCTAAAATCAGGACACTTCTTGGTCTGATTTTGGACAGAGACAGCCAGGCACGAGGGCTTAGCAGTCATGGTTTCCTTCACATTCAGTCACTTCCTACCCGACCCATGACACCACTCATCCCTGCACGGGCATGGCTGCTGAGAGGGCAGTGCTGGTGAAGTGACATGGCCTTATCCTGTTGAGCCCTGAGGTCCCTATGCCAGTGCACACCGCAGTCACTGGCTGATGGTAACTCTGTGTTTGTGGATGAGTGATTTTGACAGGGACCGTGAGCCATTTTCAGTACATTTTCTCAGGACATAGCTGATGTTGTTGGACATAGCTGATGGGTTGGACAATGGAGCAAGAAGCAGCTCATCTAGGAAGCTGAAAATGAGACAGTGGGAATTCAGGCAATGATATGGCCCTCTATTGCTCTGGGCAAGTGGTGTGACGATGTAGCTTTTCATTCTTTCTTCCATTTGGCTGTTATGACAACTTTCTCAGGCAGGTGTTATGATCCTGGCTTTCTAGATGAGAACACTGAGGGAGATAAGGTTAAGCAAGTGATCCAAAGTCATAAAAGTCCATTATTCATCACCAAGAAGCTGTGCAACATTTAGAAAGATACACCACTCTCTGATTCTCATTTCTAACATTGGACTAGACTAGCTGTTTTGAGCTCCCAAATTCCCATAAACTGGGTGCCCTAAAGCAAAAGAATTGTATCCCTTCATAGTTCTGAGGGCTCTAAGTCTGAAGCTAAGGTGCTGATAGGGCCACACTTCCTGCAAAGGCTCCAGAGGAGAATCTTTCTTTGCCTCTTCCAGGTTTTGGTGGCTCCAGGTTTTCTTCAGCTTATGGCTGCCTTTCCCCAAGCTCTGCCTCTGTCTTCAAATGATGCTCTCCTTTTCTACTGGAGTCTGCTCCTCTTCTGTCACTTCTAAGACATTTACTGGATGTATAGTCCACCTTGAATATTCATGGTGGTCTAAAGTTCCTTCGTGATACCTGAAGACTTTTTCTAATAAAGTTGATTCCTAGGTTCTGGGGTTTATGTATGAAACATGGTTTTGAGCCCCATTAACAGCTCTAGCCATCCCTACAATGTTGCACCTCTCTGCCCTGCATTGGGAAGGATGTAGGCAGTGAGACAGGAATCTGAGAGACATGGTATAGGAAAGAAAGCATCTGTCTTTACTGTCTCTGACTGTAGCCACCCAGTTCCATTGATGTATCAAAGTGCCAGTTCCAACATCCAGTTACCAGACATCCCTTTTGCCTTCCAATCCCACTGCAATGAGTTTCTTACAAAAGGGATCCTGGCACTGCTGTAACATGTAGCCCATCCCAAAGCTCTTCATTGATTTTCAGTTCTATTTCTTGGTGTGCTGTCCCTTCACAAATAAAACAAGTTATCATTCAGAAAATGCCTGCTGATATCCTCAAATTTGCATACCCCAGATGAGGCTGCAAAGCCATTTATCTCTCAAGAGCAGCCTGCTGTGGTCTCTTTTATTTTTTTATGGGATTGTCCTTAAAATGGCTGATTAGTTTGGGGTGATTTATAAATGCTTCTAGCCTGGCAATTTCCCCCTTAATGACGGGACAGATTTGTGCCTGGCTTTAAGCAGCCTTGCTTTTTGTTGTTTTAGTACATCTGCCTCCTTCCACCCCCACCCATCCCACTGTGGCTTCACTTTCTTTCAGTCTACCTCGCTTTAATCCCTCACCAAGTTTTCCTGTGGTTTAACCTTACATATCTTTGCTATTTTTTTTTTTAAAGGAAGACAAGCTAACATGTGCAAATAGTTTCTTTTTCTATATTCCCTTCTTCAGGGACAAGAGACAATTATGCTGACTTTGGACCAGTTCTTTGTCCTTTTTGGGCCTGGCTTTCCTCATTTAAAGATGGGGAAAATGATACGGATCTAACTCTGGCTGAGAAAAAATTAGCTAATGCTAGGAAACTTCGTGGCTCAATTCTCTGGTCACAGTCAGCCCTTTATAAATGCTGGCTGCTGTGTTTATGGGTTTCATGCTCTAGTGGGAGGCAAACGTGAAAGGTGGAGACACTTGGTGCTAAGTTTATGCTCTTGAACTCTCTGCGATTTACTCACCATTATTCGTATTCATACTCTTATCAAGCGTTATGGTTTCCATCCAGAATCTCTCCCCAAACTCTACTGCATCCAAAGCCCAGGGTTTGGGGGGATAACTGGATCATAGTGGCACTATACTCATTGGTGGATGAATCCCTGGGTGTGCTGTTAGAGGGTGGGGTCTGGTTTGAAGAGGCAGATCGCAAGGGAGGGGCTATCTCCCTCCTTGGTGCCTTCCTTCTCTTCTTCCTGGCGGCCATGATGTGAGCAGTTTTTTTGTTTTTGTTTTTTATGTCTAGGCACTTTTACCATGCCAGTTCTGTGTGTGAGCCTGTCAAACATGGACTGAAACTTCTGAAAGTATGAGCCAAAGTAAGTCTCTCCTCCTTTATGTCAAGTATTATGTCTCAGTGACAAGGAAAGTGACTGAGCCAGCAGGGAATCTTATGTATGGGAGTTCTAGCTTTTTAACTTTCTGTGATGATAGACCCTCACTTGTTAGGAAACTCCTTTATGTTTTGTTTTGTTCTATTTTATCTTAATTTTCAATCTCACTAAGTAATATATGTATAACAAATGTTGCTTTCCTGTTCCTGGGTTTTCCTCTCAAAAGGCAAATCACTTGTGTCGCTCTCTGCCATTTCTTATGTGTTATGTAATTCTATATTTTAAGGAGGTGTACAGTTGACCCTTCATATCCACAGTCTGCATCCATGAATTCAACCAACTGTAGGTCAAAATACTCAGAAAAACTGCATCTGTAGTGAATATGTACAGACTTTTTTCTTGTCATTAACATAGCAGCTGCCGGGGATTTAACTCAGTGGTTCTGCCACTTGCCTCACAAGCACAAGGCCCTGAGTTCAATCCCCAGTACAAAAAACAAAACAAAACAAAACAATAGCAGCTATTTTTATGGCATTTCAATTGTATTAGGTATCAGAAGTAATCTAGAAATGACTTGAATTATACAGGAAAATGCAGGTAGCTTGCATGTACGTATTGTACCATTTTATGGAAGGGATTTGAATATAAATGGATTTGATATCTGTAGAGTCCTGGAACCCATCTCCTGTAGATACCAAAAGACAATTAAATTTCATTGCTGGGAGGACAATTTATTTGTTTGTTTATTTATTTGTTGGGAGGACAATTTTAGACAATTTGTTTGTTTTTCTTAAAATGGAAGATGACAGATTTAATTTCTTATAAACTTTCCATGCAGAAATAAACCTGTATGCAAGCTTCCCTTTTCTGCATTGTACCATTATCATTGCTCCATAATTTTTGGTCTAATTACTCTTCCGTATTTATATCATTTTCATTATGTATATATTGTTCACTGCTGAGCCATGGAGTGTACCATAGTTAAATTTTCCTTTCCTGTATGGCTTTTTGTTTTAATAATTACTTTGAGTTTTTATTTTAGTTTGCTGAATTTTCAGTATCCTTGTCATTAATTTTTCCTCAGACATTCTGATAAAGCTGTAAGATTTTTTTCAGCACATGCTGACACATCAGGTAAACTGTCAGCTTTGTTTCTGGAGGGTGCTCTTTCTTTTCCAGCCTTGTTGGTTGTCTTGGAGGCCAACTGCAGGATTATCTTTCAGAGAGTTCCTTCACTATCAAAAAGGAGTTTCCCTTTGCCTCTTGTGATTGGCACTCTTTCACTTGAATCTCTTGGAATTACTCTTGATTTACTTCTTCATTTTAGCAGTGAATATTCTCTAGTATTTTGCTAAGAAAGGCTAGATGGAATATAAAAATACTGACTTTAGATGTCTAACAATATAGACATGTTATTTTATTTTGAACTGTGGACTAATACTCTGTTATTATCTAACACTTCCCACATATTTTGTCATTTTGTTATACTTTGATTTTTTCAATTACTTTTACCATGTCTTACACTAATTTGTTTTGGCAGTTGTATTTTAAATTTCTAGACATTCTTTATTATTCTCAAAATGTTTTCTTCTATAGAATCCTGTTCTTGTCATATGGGTGCAATATCTTTTTATCTTTTTAAGTATAGTGATTATTGTATTTGGAAATTTTATTCCATTCCCTGTACCATCTTTTTTCTTTTTCCTTCTGAGTTCCTCCTCTCCCAATACTCCACTTAGCACTGTTTGTTTCAGCTTTAGTCTTGGTCTTTTGTTTTAGAAGATTTATTTACATATCTGATTATATTTGATTGCTCATTTATATTTTAAGAAGTAGCGGGAAAGTGCTTGAAAGTTGACTGTGTGTGTTTGGGGTGTTTTGAAGTACATGTGCATGCCTGGGAAATGTTTTTGGTGTATTTGTGCTGTGTGTGATTACGTGGTATGTGTGTTTGGAATGTTTTGGGGTGATGAATTTGGGATATGTACATACATGTTTTTGAAGTGTTATGCATGTGTGGTATATGTGGTCCAAGATGTGTGTGTGTGTGTGTGTGTGTGTGTGTGTGTAACAGGCCTGTGGTTGTGGTGTGTTTGTCAGGGGAGATTGTTGGCTTCATTGTAAGGGAAGTAGGCAGTCTGCATTTTATCATGATGCTTCTCACATGTCAGTGTCTGGAAGTTGTCTTCTTGGCCTCAGGAAGTGTAAACTCAGCTCCCAGGATGAGTTTAGGTATCACGATGGGCAGAAGGGACCGGTGGTCTCATCCTCTGGCATGCAGACTTCTATTCCATCTCCAGTTTCTATACGGGCCTCATCCACATCTTTGATGTGCCTTGAGTTTTCATGTTTGGGAAAAAATATCTGGTTTGGTATCTCCAGATATGAAAATCATATTAGTTCTTGGGGTCAGAGTGAGACCCAACCAGCTGTGAGGTGCTATGGGAGCCTGATAGTTCCTTTTTATGGACTTTGAGCTAATTTTCCTCTAGTTAGCTTTATCCTTTGTCTCAACCTTTGGAGATATTCTGGTGCCTCCAATTTCTGAATTTTTCTGGTATTCAGCAGGACACACTACCCTTCTTTTGGCTACCCACTGCCCACACACATCTAGGTGTCAGCTTCCTCTGTTCAGAAAAGGTGTATTAATGCCTTTCAACTATTGCAGTCTTATCTCCTGTTCTCTTTGTCCTTGTGAATTTATATCTTTTTTGTACTTTTCCTGACACTTTAATGGGGGTTTGAAAAGAGGCAGAAATAACTGCATGTGTTCAATCAGTGCTTTCCAGAAGTCTCAGTTACACTTCATTAGCTTATTCTAAGATTTCCCCATCTGTAAGGAGTATGACAGAAAGGGGGAACGGATTTGTTTTTGTGAGGTGCTATGCATTAGGTAGCACTATACACATGCGTTTCTTTCAACATATGTTTCCTAACCACCTTCCATGTGCTAAACATGTTTCTAAATGGTGGAGAGGAAGACACAGATTCACAGGCAGTGTCTCATCTTTGGGGGAATTCGAGATGGTTTTGTGGGTGGGGGAGGAAGGTCAAGCTGTGAGCAAATACATAAAGTCAGCAGTGTCAGGTGGTTTTAAGTGCTATACAGAAAAGCTATGCAAGATCTAGTTTAGATGGGGTGGCCAGGGAAGGCCTCCCAGAAAGGAGACATTTATTATGTTGACCTCTAAGTAATCAGGAGGAGCCAGCTGAGCCAAAGCCAGGGAAAGGTCAGCACATATCCAGAGAGCAGCTGGAGCAAAACCTGCAGGTAGAAACTTAGAGAATTCAAAAACTATGGATGAGGATGGATGGTTACATCCTTGAGTGAGGGGAGAGCAGTGTGAGAAGAGGGTGAGACTCACCAGGATGGGATCCTATAGGCCTCTGGGCCAGGCGCACTGTTTAAATCTGAAATTCTATACCAAGACTTCAATAAATTTTAATTTTGGTAGAGGAAGTAGGTTGTTTGACTGCAAACATTTTAAATTCACTCTGGAATTGTGAATAGAATTAATGATAGGAGATGTGTTTTGGGTATCATGAATGGCAGTTATTCTGCTGGGGTTTTTGTAGTAGAATTTCACAGACCAGGCAGTGTAGAGACCAGACTTGTTTTCTCACGGTTCTGGAAGCTGGAAATCCAAGGTGTCGTATATGGTGGAGGATTGTGGAAAAGGTTCTCTCCTTGGCTTGTGGATGCCTCTTTCTCAATGTTTCCTTTCCTCTGTGTGTGCTCCTGGTTCCTCTTCCCCTTCTTGTAAAGCTATCTCTCCTACTAGATTAGGTATGTACCCTTACAACTTCATTTAGTCTTACTTACTTCTTAAAAACCCATTTCCAAATATAGTGTCACTGGGGTTAGGGCTTCAACCTGTGAATTTTATTGAGATAGTTCAGTCCATAAGAGGAGCTGGTGCAGACTATGCAAGGCTTGTCTTCAGAGACTGTTTCCGAAACCCAGAGAGAGGTGCTGGTGGCTTGTGCAGATGGCAAGGGGGCTCAGGTGGGATTTTCTGGGTAGCAGAGAAGGCAGGAACTAGTTAGCTTGGATATGGGGAGAGAAGACTCAAGGGTGATGTTGGGATTTGGGATTTCTTTGGGGGATCTAGAGGAGCAGGTTTACAGAAAAAGAAATTGGCAGCACTATTCCAGAATGTGAATTTTTAAAGGCAAGCCTTTTTATTAAAGCATTAGCCACGGATAGAAAAACACCCCCACCAGCTGAGATGTTTTATCAAATGACTACATTCCTGAAATCATGAGTCTTCCCAGCACAAGTGTGTGAGGTGGAGATGTCTTTTAGATAGTCAGGCAGGGAAAGTACACCAGGACAAGGTGCAGGTAAAAATTTGGGAGCCAATTGGCAAATCATGGTATTGAAAGCCATGGCAGTAGATCAGCGATGGTGAAAGTTTTTTAGTTTTCAATGATACAGTTCATCATGGCACATGTGCCAGCAAGACTGGATGAGATGGAGTTCACTAAAAAGAGATTATGGGTAGAACCTGGAAGGTTTTCTACCCTCTACCAAGGTTGAGCTCCATGGTGGGACTTGAGCTGAGGGGCAGAATCACAATGGGAAATGAATAGGAGACATAGTGGCACCGTGCTGGGCTAGAATGCAAGATTGGGTTTAGAGGAGAGAATGCTGATACCCTGCAAGCTGCTGAGAGATTGAGCAGAATGAAGTTAGAGATGTGTCCTCTGGCCTGTGTGGCGTTAAAGTACCTGGTGACACTGAGGAGTGGTTTCACCCATGAAGAGAGAAATGTTCAGAGACAAAAGTGGGATGACCCAAGAGCTGGTGCAAAGGGCAGTAATAGACACTATAGAGTTTGTGTGCTCTTGGACTGATTCAGTAGAAGGCACATCAGAGGAAGAATGGGTCTAAGTCCTAGAGAAGGGGAAGGACAAAGAGGACAAGTGTACTTCCAAGAATAAGGACATGTCTCTAACTAGAACAAAGTGTAGGAAAAGAG